GACCACAGTAAATGGCTAAGAATTACTACTGGAGAAATAAAGAAAGTTTGTATTTGAAATTATTTAGACACATGATAAAACCAGTCTTTAAAATGATGGGTCAGATTCTCAGAACGGGTACATAAACCAATGAGAAAGTATTACAAGAGTAAACTTTAGACTTGTGCATGGTAAAAAAAAAAAATCCTCTTTGAATAAAGAACTGTGCTTCTGAGCTGATCTGTGCAGGATAAAAGAAAGTCCATTTGTCCATGTTAGTGAGCAGATTTTCACCAAGTAGCCATGGTGAAAGAGTGATATCTCAGAGAATATGGCCCAGACCATGGCTTGGGAAATGCAGAAGATGACAAAACCAATCAGAATTAGGTGACCAGGCAGATAAACAACATGGTTATGTAGCCAAGTATATGAGTGTGTTAAGATATGTGAAATCAGATGGGGAAATCTAATACCTAGGGACACATGGAGGATGAGAACTATGGAAATTGTAGACACAATCTGAAATTAAGACCTTAGGATCTTGAGTTCAATCTGTGTCCACCACTTGTTGTTGAGCAGATTTTCCCCAAGTAGTGATGTTCAGAGTGACATCTAAGAGAAGATAATATGGCCCAGACAATGGGAAATGAATGAAATGCAGGATTTCTTACCAGCTCTGCAGCTCTAGACAAGTTATAGCAATTTTACTTCATCACTTGACAAATGGATATAATGAGATTGCATACTTCAAAAGGTTGTTGTGACTGTTAACTATATAGTTTTAAGCATTATAATACTGTTTCCCTTGTAAGCATACATTTAACAAAGGGAGATGCTATTATTATAATTGTTTCTACTCATAGATTTTAAACGATGCCTGCAGGGCCAACAGTCAATAAGGAAGCACTAAGATGTTTTCTGACACACACTAGAAACAGGTTTGTAAACATCTCATCCTAGAACGATGGTGGTTTGGCCACAGAGTGTGGGATTTGGCTTGTGGTCAGTTCATTTTTATTGCTGTCTTTTGCTGATGACCTAGGTGGTATTTGCCTGTTTCTTATTTCTTCATCTTTTCTCTTTCAGATTTCCTCTTTCTCTATGTGAATGGAAATTCAGCAATAATCACATTTAGCCATTGCTTGAAGTTTTAACTTTGAAACTAATGATGATAACTCTTCAATCTGTATCTGAGTTATGCATGTATTCTGTGTTCTTTGGAGCGATGCTCCAAAATGGAATTTTCATGCTTCCAATATTTCTGGGAAATAATTACTTTATTCTTTCATTGGGAAAAAGTAGTATCCAATAAAATGGATTTTGTTTGTCTAATTCTGCTACTAAGTGTAATGAGTCTTGAAATAATGAAATGAAAATATGTTACTATTTGCAAAACTCACCTCTGGGGCAGAGAAGCAGAAAGATGCAATTTAAACTTACACAGCTAAAGTTTAAGATTTGGATCTGTTCCTAGCTTAGTAGGTATGCCTCCTAGTCTAGATCCTCTTGAAAGTAGATCTGAGATTATATCTTAGGTAAGGTAGTTGAGGTAGTGTGTTACAGAATGCGATGGCAAAGAACAAGTACAAAATGCAAGAGGAAAGAAATTGGAAAGAAGGAAAAGCTACCACCAAATATATTATCAAGCTGGCTGCCCAAAAGAGAAGCTCAAGTTCTATTATACCAGAACTTCACAGTGATATTATGAAAGGAGTCTAAAAAAAAGTGAAACATTCATCTCTTGGCACCCATACCTGTACGTTTTAACTTACCTGCACTTATGGCCTGCACAGGTATGAGTGCTAGGCAGGGTCTCAGAAAAATATCTCATACTTTGGCCTCAGAGAAGTCTTAGATGAAGAAGTAAAAGGAGTAGAGTAGGCTTTGCCTATTGTACCTGTTCAAATCTGTTGAAATCAGCATTGGAATGATCAAAGAAATGAATGAAATGCATCAATTGGTGAAAGATGGTAGTACACTGTGTAAAGTCACTGGAGCACTTGCATTCTCCAGGGATCAGTTTTTCATGTATTAAGTATAACTCAACTTAAACCAGCAACTAAACATGTAAACTCACTCTTCAAGCACACTTGTTAGAATAGAATCATGGAGAAAACTGAGTTCCTAAACTGAGCTAGAGAGACTTGGACTCACTATAGTTGAAAAAAGTCTACATTTTAAAGCATAGATTCTGTTTGTGTCAAATGAAGTCTGACGTAAACATTTTAAACAGTTAGATAAAAGTAAGCTACAAGCTGTCAGTCCCAAACCTCACATATAAGGAAACCTAAGACCCTAGAACTCAGAGATGCCAAATTTAGGTATACTGATGCAAGTGCCCACTGAGGTCTCTTCATTGCTCTGCATTATTCGGTGACAAAGAGGACAAAAGAGATGCCATAGGTTATAGACGCTGCTACACCTTTATCATCTAACTTGAGTAAGGCAAAGGGCAACCCAGATTAAGTTTTGAACTGTCAAACTCAAAAATATTTCTTGAAACACATTTACATGTTATGATCCTTGAACTTGAAGATCAATGAGTAGAAAAACTCTTGTAAGAGCATGTAAACAATCCATCAGAGAGTGGCAGAAGATATCTGCAACATAAACCTCTTTGGCAAAAAAACTGGAACGTTACCAAGAAGATACGAAAATGGCCAAAAGTAAAAGATGTTTAGTTTTGCTACTAAATCAGAGAAGAGAATATTAAAACCAAAAATTGTGCTATTAATTTATCACCAGAAAAATAAAAATGTAAAACAGAATGGGAAATCCAAATATTGATGAAACTTAGCATTTCCATACATCATGGTCTAGAGGTTAAATTAACACAGCCACACTGGAAACCTATGCAGAAGTATCTTCAAAAGCTTGAGTTACACATGCCTGGAGATCCAACAGTTCTATTTTGACACAAGTTCTAGTGAAATGTATGAATATAGTCACTAAAAGAATGTGAATGGTCGTAGCAGTACTACTAGCAACTAACTAGAAATATGCAATATGTTCATGGACTTTAGAATGAACGAACAAAAAGTAAAGTTTTGGTATTGACACTGCATAATTCTGTAAATCAATGGGAATAAGAAAACTACAACTAGCTATAATAATATGGGTGAACCTCAGAAAGGTAATATTGGGCCACACTTGCAAGAACACACACTGTATTATGGTATTATGATGTTCATCTTGATTGTTGGCTTGATTATTTTGAAGGCACTTCATGTATGTCTAAACAGGCCATGACAATATGACCTTGTCTGCTTTACCTGTTCCCTGTCGCCTTTCTTTCTGGCTGTTCCATGGTGCTCTTTCTGGATTGCCATGAGGTGAACAACTGTTCTCTGCTATGATTTGCCATGATTTTACTGCCTTGGAGCCAGCTGACCAGGAGAGAAGCCTCTTAAAAACCATGAGTCAAAGTAAATGTACACTCTTTTAAATTGAACATGAAAGGCGTTTTGCAAAGCTACAAAAATCTTACCAATCACTTCATCTACTTAAAATTTTAAAACAGGAAACATTAATATATACTATTAGAAATCAAGATAATGGTTACCCTTATAAAGTTAATGCATGCAATGGAGCATGCGGAATCTTTGGCAGAGCTGGGTTATTCTGTCTCTCTATTTGTGCATTGGTTATGAAACTGCATACTTGTGATGAATTTAATAGAATTTATCAACACCTGCGCATATGCATGCATATATATTCACACATATATACACACATAGAACTCAGCTATTTGAAAGAAGATACTTACTGATCAGCTAAGTACAAGTCTGAAAATCACTGAAAAACTTGATTTTCTCAGATTGAAGATCTGTCTGAATGAATTTTTCACAATAGATTGAGAAATATAAATCTGATGAGTTTGCGATGAATATCTTTATGAATATAGGTAACTCATTATTATTGCAGCTAATAAATATTGATCTGTTGAGATTTTTAGGAGACATTTTAGCTAGGAACTTAGGATAACTAAAATTTAACAAATATTTTCACTTCAGAGAGTTTCCAGATTTATTCATAATTTAAGTAATTCATGCTATGAAGTAGAAAGCACTCAATACCATAAAAGGAGCAACAAATATTGCAAGGTTTAGAACAGGTCACTTATAAGAGACTGTATGACGTTTTCCTGGTGGAGGGAGCATTTTGAGTTACGCTTTTGTAGCGTATTTTAAACATGTGAAGACTGTGGGTAGGACCAGCCAAGGACCTCATGGAGCCAGGAAAATGGGAAAATGGGACAACCACAGGGTTTTGAAATGAGGACATTCATTCATCTAAGATTAGTAGATCCATTTATTTATTATTTAATTTAACAGAGGTTCATTAAAGTCCTCATATGGGCCAGGAAATACAACTATGAATTTATGTTTTCTGTTCTCCTTGCTTGGGTACATTATCAAGTTTAAGGGAAGGAAATGAGTAAATAAGTCATTTGAATAAAGTGTGGTGCAAGTTATGATGGGAGATGGGTTTTGTGGAAATTCAGAACAGAGTTGTACAACACACTAGTATGTTCTCAGAAAGACTCCCAGAAGAAAAGTCATGCTGTCATGGCTAAGGACTGAGTAGTAAATTTCTGCTGCTAGGCTGCTAAGCTGATAAATTTGAACAGTATGGAATAAATAATTTTGTTTACATTATAGTCTGAAGAAAATAAATCACAGAACCAAAACAGTTTTCAGTTGGCTTCATTGCTCTATTACACAAGATAGGAATTAAGAGTTGAGAAGATCAGTTATCAAATTCAAGTGAGAACTATTAAGAGTCTGAGAAAGCATTGTTAGAAAAATTCAGCCACAGATACTAAAGGTGTTGAAACACAGAGAATTTTTCACTGGCTTTACTTTGGAAAAGGAAATGGAAAAGGTGCCATGACTGTGAGCCCCGATTAGCATCTGTCACTTGCAAGGAGAAAACCCCCGGGAGTTATATTTGCAGTGCTGGCCCACAGAAGGGAAATGAATGGTTCTAACTACATTAAGTTAATAAAGATATCTACTCACTCCGAAGCCCTGTGGTTTGAACAAGGTGATTCATTGTTCCAGTTCACTCCTTTTCATGACTTGACATAGTCCTTGCCTGGTTCTACCCATAGCTGCCATATGGGTAAGTTAGCTCACACTGGTACAAGCATAACTCAAAATGCTCCCATCATGAAACTGTCTTTGAGTCTCTGAGACATGAGTGACCTGTGATACTGCTAAACTCTTGTATGCTTGGTGTAGATAGGACGTGGGTGAGGCAGCAGCTATTGAGGAGAAGAAAAATAGTGGCACCAGACTTGGGTGTACTTATTTCAAGGAGAACTCCTTGATCAGGTGTTATAGAGAGTGTTGTAGTTTGGCAGAGTGTACCAAATTCGGAAGTATAAATTTAAGAGCCTTGTAACAAATGGAATCATTTCTCAAATCTATTAAACCAGATGAGTTTGTCAAATGTCATAAAATTTAGTGAAAAATTACAAAAGAAAACAGGAGAAACTGGAACTGGAGTGGGGGCCAACAGTTACAGGGTGTAGGAGAAAAGACAGATACAACAGAGGAGGAAAAAGAGAAAAGTTCCAGGAAATCATTAGAGCAGAATTTCAGAAAGAAAAAGTATGTATTTAATGTGTGTGAAAATGGGGACAACTATTTGGAAGAAACTAGAGACAATTAGATAAACAGTGAAGATCTCCAGTGGACTTGCTTTGAAAATGTATTTCTTTAAACTGTTTCTTTTTGAACTGTTTTGTTCTGTTTTGATATGTTTAATCTTACCTTCTTTAACATAAAAAACAAGTGTGTAGGAATGATAATCATATTACTAAGTTCTTGTTAGATCATTGAGCAGACTAAACGATATAACTGCATGTATATTTAAGTGTATAACATAGATAATGATATTACTGAGTTTTGTTGAATCATTGAACAGAGCTGTTTGCAGTCTCACTGTTGGAATGTCCACTTTATAAGCTTTAATTTTGTAACTTGAACAATTATTTCTAAGATGACAAAATGTAATCCATTAACGAGTGATTTCCTACTGTTTATTTCTTTCTGTAAATCTGTATAACTTGTATCCTTTCTCTGCCTTTTTTTCTTTTTCTCCTTAAATAAAATTTAAAAAAAAAAGATCATTGAGCAGAACTGTTGGCAGTGTCACTATTTGAATGTCATTTTACATACTTTAATTTTGTAACCTGAACAGCTATTTCTAAGATGACAATATGTAACTTATCAACTGGTGATTTCTTACTGTTTATTTTCCTGTAATTCTGTATTATTTCTACTCTTTTTATATCAATGTATTTTTTGTTTCTTTCTCTTTAAATAAAAAATGAAATAAAATAAAATACATACATAAATAAAAAAGAAACATTCTACAGCATCAGTATGACAGGAGTTTCATATTTTTCAAGACTTGCTTAAAAGAAATACTGTTTTACATATATTGCTTTGGGTCAGGCAATGTGTGAAAATAGAATTGATAGCAAGATATGTGATATTTCTCCCCTAGTCAGCCTCCTGTATATTGAGATAACTGATATTTTAAGCCAAGAGCTATGAGCATATTTTCATAGAAGTCAAGATTTCAAGAGAAAACCAAATCATTTGCAAATGGTCCTTGGTGAGCAAAGACATAGTGGCTCTGCCTTAGCGCAACTATATACAATGGCTTACTTTAATTACAATCTAAACTAAAAAGGTCATCAATGGTTTAAAAGCAAAGTGTCCATAATTTTCTAAAAAATGTTTGTGACAGCACAAAAGGAATCTAGAAACAGGTGCTAAAAACCAGGCCAAGTCATGTGGATGCCTATATTTTAGGCAGTTGTTCATCTCAAGTACATAAAACAAAATGCCCCTCTGAGAGCAGAAGTCTCTTTTCAGAAAAAGAAAACACTTCTATTAAAATATTGGACATGCTGTCATGTGTTAATGGCCAAGTGCCTCCAACCTGTCCTTTATCCTTCTAGGCAGATGCACATTCCTTAGCAGTACTTTAAGTAACATGCTCATATATCCCACTGCTGCTGTTCTGTTGGCATGATTATCAGGACTATCTCCTTGCACTTTCAAACATGTTCCCAAGAGGATGTTATGTGCTGGGATTGTTCTACTCTTAGGTCTCTTACACACTCACCAGGGGATAACAATTCAATGTAAGGGCTCTGACCTTAGGCAGACCAGACTTTGAAGGCAAATTCATTATTTTTGTCTAATATTTGGAAAAGTACATTATTGGGCAAGTTTCATTCTCTCTGGACCTTAGTTTCCTCAAATGATAAAGGAGAGTAAATATAGAACTTATCAAATAAAATGATTACAGGAAGATGATATCCATAAAGAACTGAAACCATTGCCTGGAACATACAGAAACATCTAATAACTGTTATTAGCTATCAATCTCATCACCATTCTTGCCATGCCCTATGTAGAATAGCCCCATAGATTGGAGTTAGTTTGAGCTCTGATGACTTTTGCAGTTAATGGCCTGCTTCTTAATGAGGTATGCCCATTACATAGTACCAAGGCTTTACTCTGAGTAGCATTTTCCCTGGTGTTAGGCTCAGGAGAGGGACCCTAAATGGTCTTTCTCCCATGTGGGTTCATCTTTGACCTTAATGTAGGCTCCTGGACCTGGTCTGAAGAGACAATACAAATATAAGTAACACACTCAACAAGCCACACAACCAACACTCTAGTTCACACTATATACACTTATAAGGAATATTGTTATTGTCGCATGTACTATGTGTGTAACAGTGAGTCTTGAAACAGTAGTCTTTTTTCTTTTTTAGTTCTGAAATTCTATTCTGTGATTTGAAATCTAAACCTAATTCTTTTCATGTACCTCTTCAGTGGATGTAATCATTCAACCAACCAAATACTAATCCAAATTATTGTACTTACGTTTGCATAGCTTCCCAACTCAGCAAGCAAGCAAACAAACAACCCTTTTTTTTGTTTTCAGTAAATTCTACCATCAATCAGTTTATGCCATAAGTCTGGGTCTCAAAAATTTCTTGCAATCAATCAATATGTGATGCTATAATACTATTACTTCTTTTGTCGTTATGAGACTTTTTCTGCATGTAGTCTTACTACCAAATTCTCTTTGACTGATAAAAATGAGACCAACAGAGTCATACTTAATGAAAGCAGGTGTTGTTTCAGCATTAACAATTGTTAGCTTGTGGTTTGATTTTTAGAAATCCATAGGACTTCTTGATGTCTCTGCACATCACTAATTTTGGGGGTTTTTGAAGCTATATATGTTTATGCTTTTAGTTTGTACTGTATGTCATCAGCATAGAAGATGACATTTGTGACTGCCTCTGAGAAAGGCACTGAGATGTTTTCTCTTTAACTCTGTGGCTGGTTCATTTCATCTGGGCTGGGGTAACCAGCCTACTTTTGTGTCTTAATCTGTTTTTGTTTATGGGACAAAACACCTGACACTGTACTTTAAAGGATGAAAAGAAGCTTACTTTGATTCCTGATTTCAGTCCATATCAACTAATTCAAAGGCAGGAACATCATAGAGAAAGAGTCTGGTAGAAAAGATACTCAACTTGTGGCATCCAGGATGCAGAGAGGAGAGGAAGAGCCAACAAGGAAAAATCAGGGCTCAGACACAGTGCTCAAGTCAAACTCACATGACCAACCAGACACACTTAAAAGTATGTTTTACTAATCTTCTTGGCATCTCTCAGAACAGTTGAGTTGGCAATCAAGATGATGATATAGCTCATCTTTAGATTGTCTGAGATTTGTCCACTGTAACAAAAAGTGCAGAATTGAACCTCTCAATATTTCTATTTTGTGTAGGGACTTGGCTAAACACCCATTTTGTCACCAAGAGAGAACCAAGCACGAACTTCAGGTTTGCAACTGACCAGTTGGATACCCTCACACAGGTATCTGAACTTTTTCACCTTTAAAATTGAGATCATATCATAGAAGCCACCATATAAGCCTGTAATGAAGGTTATAGGAAATAATAGAAACATTTAGTCCATGCATGGAACACGGTGCTTATTACATGCTAGCCATTACTCAATATTAATTTGTCATATATCTAGAGCATTTTGACTCTCATAACAATAGAGTGCAGCCGAGGCTCAAATCCTACCCCATGGTATATCATTTTGTTTTTCCTCAATCACCCCATGCTCAGTGGAGAATACAGACTGTCTTTAGGCAACTTCTACTTCTGTCTTTAAAAAACATCATTTTTGTGAAGATAGCAAGCAGGGAAGGACTGATGACAAGTCACTGGGCTGGAAATAAAGGGCTAAAAGAATGCATTTAGGGACACATGAGTTTCAAAACCTCTCAGCATATCTATGAGACTTTATTTGGAACCAATGCCATCTGTTTACCGGATGTCTGTGACAGAAATGTGCCCATGAATTCGGTCTCTGCTTTTTTTTCACCCTTCAACTGTGCAGTGCAGCCAGATGTTCTTGTGTTTCAGACACAACCACATCCATCAAGTTCTTTGCAGGACTAGATCATTCATGCTTGTGTAACTTCATTTCTCCAGCAGTGAGACTAGTGGGTTTGTTTATCCACTTTTTTTCTTGATATTTTTTTCTTATGTTGCTTAAATTAAATTAAAAGTCAGCACTGTCAGTAATTAACAAGGGTGGTACATTTGTAAACCTGGATTTGCCTGGTTGCCAGTAGAGAAAAATCCCTCTGTTCACTGCCAAAATTGTGTTTACCAGGCACTGTTAGTGTCTTGGCAATGCTGCTTAGGTTTTGTCAGAACATAATGTAACTGTGTAAACGATGTCCTTCTGAGATGTGAGCTGACTTGTGTTATTCCCAGACTTAAATATGCTGTGAACTAATTAACACCAACATGAGAGGAACACTCAAATATTGTCACCTTTTGAGTAACCGCATGCACACATCTCTGTACATGGGTTTCTGTCTCCTAAAAAGTGAATGATTTGGGGCTGGGGATTTAGCTCAGCGGCATAAGTGCCTGCCTTGCAAGCAGGCAGTCGTGAGTTCGATCCCTGGTACCGATAAAAATGAAAAAGACAAAAAAAAAAAAAAAAAAAAAAAAAAGTGAATGATTTTGGTTGTTATCACAGGAAAAGAAAATACTGGAGAGTAAGGCCCTGGCACTCTGCTAACAGACACTCTACCACCCTGGTATCTA